GACACTCACCCAGGTACTGGCCCTTGCCCTCTCGGAAGGGGGGTCCTACAGGTCCTTTGTGCATGGGCTGCACCTGCACGTACTTCACAGGGGCGTATCCAGCTGCCCCACCAGCCCCGCCACCAGTGGCCCCCCGAGGTCCGCTTCCCAGTAGCAGCAGAGGCAGGAACGTCAGGGCCCCCCACATGGCGTCTTGTCTCCGGAGTGCTGCAAGGAGGGACAGAGGAGTTGTCAGGCCACCACTGCAAAGTCAGAAAGAGGCCCAGGAGTTCACAAGATGAAGTATTTAGACAGTATTCACAAGCAATTCCCAAAGTCACAGCACCTGCAGGAGTTCCCCACTGCCCTCCCTGAGCCAGCCCCACCTGGGCTGCCGCCGCCTCCTCCAGCCCTCCCCACGCTAGCCACCCTCTTCTCAACCCACCCTGCTGACACCCCTGGCGGCTGACACCCCTGCCCATGGGCTGGGCACTCTGCCAGGCGCTGGGCTCTATCTTTAGAGATACAATCCTACTTCATGCTCCTAACACCTGAAGTGTTCTCATCACCACCCCATTTTCCAGATGTAAAACCTAAAACCAAGGTCAGAAAGTAGCAGACCTGGGCTTCAGCTTAGCCGTAGCTCCTCATTCTACGCAGATGCCCTCCCAGCCTTCCTGACTGCCTTCAGGTTCAATCCCGAGGTGCTGAACATGATAACCAAGGCCTTTTTCATCTCACTGTGCCCAAGCGCCCAGTCGACCTTTGCGCTCAACACCCCGTTCCCCATCCCTCCCGCTCCCCCTTGCTCCTTTGCTCCAATAACAAGAACCCTCTCAGCTCCCAGACACCAGGCAGCCTCACACTGCTGGGCCTCGCACCTGCCGTTTCATGGCAAGCTCTTCTCTTCTCCACCCAGCAAAGTCCTACTCACCCCTCGTCTTCGGTACCTAGGCTGCTGTAACAAATGCCACACCAGAAGGGCTTTCGCCCATTGCTATTGTCACAGCTTAGGAGGCTAGAAGGCCATATTCTAGGGCAGCGGTTCTCAACCTGTGGGTCATGACCCCTTTGGGGGTCAAACGACCCTTTCACAGGGGTCGCCCAATTCATAACAGTAGCAAAATGACACTTATGAAGTAGCAACGAACATAATTTTCTGGTTGGGGGTCACCACCCCATGAGGAAGTGTATGAAAGGGTCGCTGCTTTACGGGAAGGTGTTCTCTCTCCTGCTGGCTCTGGGGAAAGGTCCTTGTTGCCCAGAACATCTGTGAACCCAGCGTCCCTTGGAGAGTGGCATGCCCCATAGCATCAGTTTTCCTCTGGGCCTAGGAGGTTCTCAGCACAGGGACCCCAGGTCTAAAGAACACTCTCCACTCTGAGCCCTTCTTTCTTGATGGTGCTGAAATCCCTTCCTATCTGCTCACTTCTCTCTCCCAAAGGTGGTGCAGGCCACACCCCAGGGAAACTCTCTTTGCCCCCAGAGAGCAGCACTATTATCTGTGTTCCTTACCACCCAAATCCTGTTTTGTTAACCTAACACACATAGCCTCATCCTCAGGAACGTAACTTAATCCTGCCTCAACGCAAAAAGCCAAACCAAATGCACCGCCATCGAGTGGATGCCTGCTCATAGAGACCCTTTAGAACAGAGAAGAGCTGCCCCTGGGGATTTCTGATGCTGTAACTCTTCAGGGGAGTAGAAAGCCCCATCTGGCTCCCTCAGAGCAGCTGGTGGTTTCAAACTGCTGCTCTTAAGGATCGCAGCCTAGTGCATAAGCACTGCGCCACCAGGGCTCCTTCAATACACAGAAGTCAGGATTTAGGCCACATCACAAAACGGAGCCTAATTACATCCGATCAATCAGTGGAGGAGAAACACACAATATTGGAATTATGACCCCATCAAGTTGACACATTTGGGGGGCCCACAATTCAATCCAGGACAGCCTTCAAGGCTCTGAGAAATTAGACCCACTACCGCTGACTCCTCACGCTTTTGTCCCCAGGTCTTTCCCTGTCATAGCATGTGGCTGAGCTTTGAGTGGAGAGAAAGCGTGGGCTGTGGGTTCAGACGGCTGCCCTGCGTCCCCACTCCCTGGCGGGGCGAGCTCGGGCCAGGGGCTCTCACCCTGTGAGCCTCGATTTCCTTATGCGTGAAACAGCATACCATGTCCACACAGGCATCGCACACAGGTGTTTGCGGCAGCATTATTCGTAACCCCTATCGCCAAATGGGAGCAACCGAGTGAATGTCCCTCGGGTGGTGAAGGACAAATGTGCACAGCACACGATGGCAGTTAGTCGGCAAGGAAAAGAAATGACGTTCTGAAACAGGCGACCATGGGACACTAACTTGCTTTGTAAACTCAGCTAATGCCACCCCCCACCCCAAGCTCGGGAGGGGGCAATGTGTGTGTGTGTGTGTGTACCAACAGTCCCCGATTCTCAGGGCTGCTGTGATGGTGTAAGAAACTTGGGTGGTTTCGAACTGCTACCCTTCACCATTTAAATGAGGGACTATGTGGCATTTTTCACACCTAAGGAGAGTCTCCACCCCGCACCCGGCCCCACCCCTGAGGAGGTACTCAGGGAAGGGCCTGGCAGTGGCTGGGGGAGGGCTGCATGTGAGGAGCAAAGCCCCCGTGGTGCTGGCTGCAGTTGCATGCTCCTGTGGCTCAATGTCATTGCGGGGAGGCTCCCCCAGGGCCCTGGGGAAGGTGGGTGGACCTAGCTTCCTGGTTCAAATCCCAGCTCCTCCACCAGCCTGCTCTGCGACCTAGAGCAGACCCCTCAACCCCCCACGGGACCTCAGCAGAAGAGCAAAGCCCAGGAGGCTGGCTGCTCCCAGGCTTCCTGGGCCTTGTTTGTCTCACTCCCTCTGTCTCCTGGAGAACCCAGGCAGCTCAAAGGCTGGCCCAGCCACTTCAAAGACGCCCAGACGTAGACACACAAGCCCACACTCAGATGCTTGCCCAGGTCACATGGATACAGAGCTGCCTTTATCTGTGACTGTCACCACAAAAACCCCCCAAAACCACCCTCTGCCATTGAGTTGATGCTGACCCACAGGGACCTTTCAAAGGGTTCCCAAAAGTGTAAATCTTTTTTTTTTTTTAATCAATTTATTGGGGCTCATACAATTCATCACAATACATAGATCAATTGTATAAAACACATCTATACATTTGTTGCCCTCATTATTCCCAAAATTCACTTGCCTCTTGGGTTCCCGGAATCAGCTCATTTTCCTTTTTTTCCCCCTCCCCCCAAAGTGTAAATCTTTACGGGCACGCAGACAGCCTCAGTGGTCTCCTTCGGATTAACAGGGCTGCCCAGTCCAGCCTGAGCCACAAGGCAACCCTGAGGGCACATTTTGCTCCTTCCAAGTGCTTCCCATTTCCTCTGGACATTCCATCATCTCTGGGGTGAAGAGTCCCTCACTAATACACCACACTGCCAGAAAGGCGCTCTGGTGGCCCAGTGGTTACACCTTGGGCTGCCATCTGCAAGGTCAACAGTTTGGAACCACCAGCCCCTCCAAGGGAGAGAGTTGGGTCCTTCTACTCCCATAACTAGTGGTACAGTCTCGGGAACTCAGGGGCGCTTTTCTGCCCTGCCCTATGGAGTCACTATAAGTTAGCATCGACTCCGTGGCAGTGAGTTTAGTTGGTTGGTTTGTTTTGGTCAAAACTGTGCCCAGTTCATCTGACCCACCACCCTCTCTCTCTCTCTGCTCTCCGGAGGGCACCCCCCTCCAGTACTAGTCACCTGACCTGCGGGAGAGAGGGGATCCTGGGAGTCTTCCTTCTCTCCAAGCAGGCCTTTGAGTAGTTTCATAGGAGAGGGCTGCTGTCCTTACCTGGAGGGGAGCAGGCATGTGCCAGTCCAGGCAGATGGGGGTGGGGGATGGGGGCTGGGAAGGCTGTGCCAGTTGAAGGGCTGCAAAAAGAAATGCCACCCTTGGGGTTACACAGTGTGGCAGCCCAGGGAGGACGGGCTACCTCTACCCCCGGCCATAACCAGAGCTAAGGTGCATGGGAGCCCCAAGCCGACTCCACCAGGGCACCACAGGCTGTTCTCGCCCACCCCTGTATCTCCACCTCAGTCTTACTCTGGGAAGCCCCTCTTGGGGTCCCGGTGCCCACGGGTCCCGTCCCAGCTCTGATTTCCCCTGTGGCTCTCCTGCTCGCTCACGCCCCAGCTCAGGGCCTGCAGGCGTCCAGCGAGGCTCCGCAAATGCCTAGGGAACCCACTTCCCCCATCAAACTTGTAACTCCCAGGGTCTTCTCCCGGGGCTTTGCTCAGGCCCTGGTTGGATGGGGAAGAGGTGGGACCGTCCCCGGGCCTGAATCACCAAAGAACTGCAGCTCCCAAGCACCAGCTCCAGAAAGGAGAGGCCCGGGGAGAAACGGGAGTGAATCCTTTTGCTCCCGCATCA